CAAAAAGCCCCACAATGCAGGCCTATTTTGGATAGAGGCACGTGACTACATTCATATGAGCGCATAGTTTTACTGCTATTAGGTGGGGGGTCTTCGGGAAAGGCGAATACAAAAGTTCATAAAATTGAAACGGAAAGTGATTAATCTGGCCGTAATCTTGAATTTCAAGAGGAAAAAAAATCATCTTGAATTTCCAGCGAAAAAAAAAGGCCAACCTCTTCGCGAAGTTCAAGAGACGGCGCTATTTCGGTCTACGGGCGCGTATTTGGTGTAATGCAACCATAAGACTGAGTGGGTCCGAGTTGACTCGAGGTGGGTCCTAAATGGCGTGGGTCCGAATTGACGTGGGTCCAAGTTGTTTGTGGGTCCGAGTTAGTATTGGATCCGAAATGGCATGGGTCCGAGTTGGAATGGGTCCGAGTTGACCTGATCCCGCTGTTACGCCCCAACTATGGCATCAGTCCCAACTATAGTTGGGCCCGTCCCAACTAGAGTGCTACAGTTGGGCCGGCCCAACTACAGCACAGGTCCTGTGTGCATGATGTGCCCAGCATATGCCAAAGTCACAAATGTCATGTCATTGGTCATAGAGCTAAGTGCCACATTTTTTATGAATTGTGTCAAGTGTAAGACACATTGACTTGGATAATATTGAGACATTTCCCACAGGTATTGGTCAACAATAGTTGGCCCAGCCCAACTGCAGTACTACAGTTGGGACTGTCCCAACTATAGTTGGGACTTATGCTATAGTTGGGGCGTAACAATGCCATTCGCATTTGGTTCTCAACATATCAAAAGTACAAGCCGACTATTACTCGTGACTCTTTTTGTCATATTCAGAAGTAAAAACTCAAAATGAACACTGTCTGAAATTATTTTCATCCAAAGCCATTTTTATTTCAATTTATACTCTTCTTTCATAATAACGGTAAAAATGGTTCAGATACAGGAACAAATTTCAAGCTACACTGTATATCATTTTCAGCATGCCCTTCTTGTGTAGTACACATTGGTTGGACCCAACAAATCAACTGATCGATCTGATCATGATCAAGGACAATAAAACAGCAGACAGACTAACCATGTAAAGGGCAAAGTGTATGTGACAAAAGAAAATTCAGACAGTGTAATAAAAGCATTACTTTTGCTAAACATGCATGCACCTGGTACAGGCAACACTGAATTGGTGCAAAATGATCAACAAAACAAGTGTGACTATTTCATTCCAAATTAAATCCTTTCTCTGTAGGTTTTAACTACTTGCGCAATACTACCTCACAGCCTGGTATTCAGTTTGTCAAGTCTTCTGAGATTCCAGGTCTGACATAAATTGGGTAGCTGCAATCTCAATATTTGGGGGGTGGGTACATACATGTACTTCAGAGAGAGATTTGCAAATATTTGCAGGGTGCATCTGATATTAATAGTGGACAGTATGGTTCTATGCACATCATGTACTAGGTTTAATTTGACCATCACGGAAAGAAAGACAGGCATGCAACTTGGACTTTAACAAAACAATGAGGAAATTGTTTTTACAAAACTTTGCACTGTGATTTTTCATTTTCAATGGAATGTGTAAAATAAAAAATGAGGAAATCAGTGGATCAAAGGAAATGCTACATGTCTTGAATCATATCACACTGACAGGAAACTACACAAATTATAAACCTAACGGTGCAGCTCATTGCAAGCACTTATACCTACAATGTACTGTGGAACAAGTACACGGTCCAATCACCGAACTCGATATTCATTACTTTCTGATTAATATTACTGTTTCACTTTATGATTGTGGCAAATTCAGCTTGAAAAATTAAATGTTATATTCATTTTTTCACTTTAATATGATTGTAGAAATATGAAATTGGAAAAATAGCCTCAACAACCTTGTAATTGTGAGGTGCATTATACATGTCAAGCTCGTGGTAACAATGGTATTTACATATGTTGGCTTAACATCAATCTTTGTCCCCAATGAGGGGTACTTGTGTGCAGAATACATAGACTGAGTCCACTTTGTTCTGAAATCAATATTTTGCCGTCATTGGGTCTGACTCTGTTTCAATTAGGTCACGCATTCGATGCCAAGCAATCTTCTTAACTTCATTCACACCGTTCTCTAATTCTACATCTGTAGCATTATGTATTCTGACCTTTAACCCCGCAATGATGGATTCTATTTTGTTTTCCCTGGCACAAATAACAAAAGGAAACTGGAACTTGGATTTGTACAAGTCATTCAATTCAGCGATGGTGTTAGCTTCCTCTCTGGTCAGATTTAGAAGTCCAGCACTACTCTGTTCTTTCTTGGACTCAGTTGTGAGTTGGTCTGCTTGAGCCAAATTTCCAGCCAGGTCCGGATGACAACGAAGGATGGCTTCTTTTCCTGGTCAAAAATAGACATGAGCAAATGATGGGGTACAGTAGGAAATGGTCACACTATTAACGCTTTGAAGTGACAATGTAACTGCAATTGAAGCAAACAGAACTGGATCTCATCAAATCATATCAAGATGTTTAACAAGCTCATGCACATGCCAAAAATCCCAATCAAGCATGCCGTTGAGTTGTTGTCCCACAGTTCTAGTTGTCACTATGGCCGCGGTGTCTCAGTATACTCATCAGTCCCATTTTGTCCCAAATCGAGTTTGTTATTAACACTGAAACAGTTGAACTGTTGGACATCTGGTATGTCTGGACTGGCAACCATAAAGTAGGTACATGTACATGTGTGCGGTAAAAAAAATTCGAAGTTGTTGAATGCCACTGCAATGTACACCGTTGGAAAGGTCTTGAAAAAAGCTTTCCAATGTTACTACGATGACCCTCCTCTGACAAAAAATGAGTTGTAGCGAAAAAGAGACGTGAGTTGAGGCCATTTTGTCTTGTACTGGCAAAAAAATCCTTTTAGATTTTAAAAAGCATGACAGAAATAGTAAAAAGAAACCACTTTGGAAAGAAAAGATTAAAAAAGAGAAAAAGTATTTAAAATCTTTACCAAAATAAAATAAATAAATACATAAACATTATGGCTTTACAATTCTCTTGAAATCCATGCCCATTGGAAATCAGAAAAACAAGTCAGCTGAGAAGAACTAAAGATAGACTCTTAGCCAATCAGGAAGTGGTATTTGGGTCACATGACCCATAATTAGCATACAGCTTCATTTACCCAATAAAAGTGCAGTGATACTATTTTTTTCCCATCTTCAAACATCGTAGTTGAAACTGTCTGTAACAATGCTGAAATTGTAGTGAAAAGTGTAGTGGTCAATGAGTCAAACACCTGATGTTCATCAAGGCCAGTTGACCCAATGATAAAATTTGGCTAGTTACTTGGAATGTGGGGGCTGAGGCCAATGAACCCACAACTTTCCTTTTTTCATGGAATAATATTTCTTTGATATGAAGGGGAGGAACTTTTATAAGAAACTGATATTAGTCATGGGTTTACATCATTTGGTTTTATTCTGACTGGTCAAAGGAATTAGTCATTAACTTAGAGCAGGGTGATGGAATTTTACTGCATACTGTATGTTACTTATGACTGATATTCAGTAACTGCGTTAATAGTAAATTTGTAGAGTATAAAAACCCCAAAAGCGTGTTGAGAAATCGAGTCGAAACTTTGCAAAACTTTGCAAGCAGAGAGCTAAGGTCTGATGAGACCAGTTTCGATGCTTTGAGCCTGTGAAGTGTTTTCGTCTTGAGAAAATTCTTGTTTTGTGAATCATTTTGCTGCGGTGAATTCTGACTGTGTTTGACTGTGAGAAACTTTGCATAAGGCGAAGTTTTGAAAACAAAAGACACTCGCATTCATGACTGACTTCTGTTTGTCAACGAACACTTCTTCCAAGTCTGCATTGTCCATGTACTTGGGCCAGGACGATTGCTTGAAGTTCAGCTACTGAGACTCATAAATTAGCACGACTAAAAACATCTTGTGACAAGTTAAGAAGTCAAGATTGTTACACTGTCCTTTCTAATTAAAAATCTGTAGTAAATAAGCTTAGAAAATCCATTAAATTTAATCAGAAGCAATAAAAATGATAATTTCTTTTTCATAATTGCAGCCCAAATTGTACCATGTAGACATAAAGCTGAAATTGCATACATATCCTGTGGGCCAAAAAAAAACAATGTGGGAATTGATAAAATTTCCTCAAATTCCACAAATCAACCGAAAATAATCAAACAACCATAGAAATGAGAAAGTGTCATGTCATCTTTGATAAAATCATCAAAGGTTTTGACGACCGTTCTGATGTGATATTTGACAAGGCTGAGAAGAGTGAATTTCAACTGGTTCTCTGAAAATATTTGCTGGAAAAAATAAAATAAAATTCGTGTCAAGACTAGAAAACCTCAAAGAAAAGGGGTTTCTACACAATTTCCCATATTTTTAGACATGGGGAAATACCAACACGGCTGTGCTGGAGCACTAAAATCAGACCGGCAAACAACCCGAAAATGAAGCCGAGTACTAAATTGATAGTGCTGTGGCATACCTACATAACACAAGAAAACCTCACCACCGCTTGTCGCGGGCAATTGTGCCATCAGTCTATGTGATGGATATCAAACAATCCGACTGGTGACCGTTTACAAACTTGACTTCCTAATTAACATTACTTTACTTAACTCTAAATTCTAGTTTTTTTGGAGGGGGGCCTTCAACTAATTCTCACTGCTCTGGGAAAACATTAGTGGACTTTTTCATTTTTGTGGGGAAATGATGGCTTTGTTTAGTGGCTTTTTTGGGGGTGTACTTAATAAAATTTGATTTCTATTGGAAATGTTTCTGGACTCATTTTAAATTTTTTTGGCTTCCTTTCCAATGACCAATCATAGCTCAGCTTTTATTTGGAGTGGGGTGGATGTTGGACCCCAAAGTTCTGGTGGAATAACTTGGCACCATCAATACAGCCAAAATGTGTTTATGGGAGTTGTATATACGTACATGGCTATCTACAACTAGGTTTATTAATACAAACCTTAGTATAGGCCTGGGCCTACTCTTAATTTTAAAACGTTCGAATAAAGCTAGTTACAGTTCTGGAAGTAAGTCCCAGCATGGAAAATCAAGCTTCACGTTTCATCATTTTTTCATCGGGACGAATTCATCCACCCATCTACATATGCACTATGTGTTACAAGTTGCTCTAGCAAGTTTGACATGCCCGCCCAGGTACTAGGTATGCCAGGTTACCGTTTTACCTATGTAAGGGAGTTTGTCCAAAAAATCACACATAGCTCGATGCATCTCCGCTGCGTTAGTAAACGGTCGCTGTCCCCAAATGGCACCGGCAACAATCGGTCCATGTTCGATGACGTTACCAAAACGCTGAATAAAAGTCTCCCAGGAAAGACTGTTGATTTTGTCCATAACCACACAAAATTAAACGATATTGGTCGAGTCGAACGTGGAGATAGAAATTACTTCACAAAATTATTCCGCACGCCGCACTTAAAGCCGGACTGGGGGCCAGTCTACTGGACTCCCACCGTATCCTTGCCCCACAGCGGTTCATTCAAAAAGTGGAGACTCAGCGAAAATACCTTCTATGAAACCCTTTTTGCGTGTATGGATCACTCACCTCGACAATACTCTGATGTACTACTTTGGGCGATTTTCAAATTGTAGAAGTCCATGAAATTTTGGTTTCGATTTAGGCCATTTGTTTACTACAGCGATTAACTCCTGATCGCTAACCGATGCCAAACACAGTCTGGATCTGTTTTGTCTGGGGACCAGACAGCGTTAGAGCAGCGGTGCAGACGCACCACAGCTCATTAGCCTGATTAAAAGTGCCCTCGCAGTATCTTTTGAACAAGGAGATTGTTTGGCCCAATAACTTATGAATTGTGAGATTGTGTAAATCCTTGCCAGGATCAACTCCCTGGGTCTTGTAGCTTTCATATGAGAGCAGTTGAAAAATGGTCCTAAGTGCAGAAAGTCAGGGAATGTTGCCAATTGAAAAGTGGCTGCAATCAGACTTTTCGGGGGGTGATTTATGGGAATAATTAAAAATGTTATTCGTTAACCCACAAAAAATTGAAAAGAAATTGAAAGATTAGCAACCAGACAAGAATTTGATTTGTCTTTCAGAAATTTCAGGGATGTTGGCGTGCTTGTTATTGGGCCCTGAACAGTGCTGATTTTCAAGTACACCGTTTTGGGCTTGAATTAGTGGACTGTACCCAGAGACGGTGATCCAAATTACTGTTTTTTTCAGCGACTGTGTATCACTCGTAATGAAGCCTTATGTACAGGCGTGAGTGCATCGAATGTGTAGAAAATATGAAAACAAGAACCGGCGGGTGCGTGTCACTTTTTCATCGTGGGATTACGGATCATAGCGAACGGTGTGCGCTACACTCGTACCCCCCCCTGCCACACTATGGACCCGCACGAGTTCACACTCGATCCCAAACGTCGTTTGCATTGAAGTTCAGTTCATCTTCATCATTCATCAACCTTCATTGGCAATGTCTTGCTCTGCGGCGGATGATCTACGCCCAGACCAACGAGATCCCGATACTGTGTTTGGCGAGTCGGTCAGCGATCGGGAGTTCAATCGCTGTATGTACTGAGTAAACGAATGGCCCAAATCGAATCCAAAATTTCACGGACTTCTACAATTGGAAACCGCCCAAAGTAATACGACAGAGTATTGATGGGGTGAGTGATCCATACACTTAAAAGAAGTTTCATAGAAGGCAGTTTTGCTGAGTCTCGACTTTTTGAAAGAACCGCTCAGCGTGGGACCCAAAGATCGTATAGCGCCGCGTAGGGCCAGGGTCCGGGTGGGACCTTTGATACGGAGGCGAGGGAGTCTAGTAGACTGGCCCCCAGTCTGGGGCTAGTCGCATACTACTGCTGCACATAATGCACCAAATGTGACCAACACTGGGCCCCGCAAGTACAGTTACCGCTGAACCAGCAAGAGGGCGCTATCACGACGAACCACTGATCTCACTAACCACCAGCGCCAACGGTTGTGTTGTGGCCCCGAGATACTAATACAAAATGGTGTGAAGTTCCTAACTTTTGCAGAATATCGCAAAAATGTATAATTCCTTCAATTCATCATCCCTCTTCTACCTTTATCAGCCCAAAAAAGGAAATAACAAATGGATGCATTTGGATGTGTGATGGCCTCGCTTTACTTTTTTTGAAATTCAAACTTCTTTTCAACATGGTAACCTGCTGAAAACAAAACCCACTGACCTCAAAGATGCATTCATCAAGTTGAACTTTATTGCTTTTCCACAGGCGTTGTAATGGGAGTCAATTTGCAATCTCTATCATTAAATCAGAATCACCTTTCGACAAGTACACTAGCATAGATGCTTTCTAGATGGGGGGGGTGCACTTTTTGGGGTGTTCGTAGCACTTAAAAGGAAGGCTGGAACAAGACAGGCAATACCTAAGGGGAAGGTATCCCCTTTATGTCACTAGTTGGCAAGACAGGCTCTATCAGACACTCTGGGATTTGAAATTCATGGACCTTGTTCTGGCCAATACCGCCAGCAACCCTATCAGAGCATATCGATTACTTCTCAAATTGTTCACACACACACACAGCCAAAAAATGATACCTTTTCGATTCTTTGTTTTCTCTCTCGTTTTCGTGATAACTTGTTCGCAAACAAAATCAAATACATTTAAAATCACTTTAATCCATAAATCAATAGTCATGAATATACATGTGTAAGTCAACATGCAGTCTATAATGCTAGAAATCTTAGTCATAAGAGCACCAGTTGAATATTCTGACCAAATATGCAGGGTCACAAGTCATTTCAAGTTAAATTCTTTGTTCATTAAACAAAATTCAATCACAAATACAAGAATGTTCATCTTTCCATCGCTTGCCCCAGCTATGCCGATGCATGTTGCGTTGTGAAAGGTTTGATGGTCCTTACTTGATCAAGAATGCGATACCAGGCAATCTTTTTGATCTCTTCCATAGCAGTGACTACCTCCACATCCCTTGAGTTCTGAGTTCGTGTATGGAGACTAGTAAACAACCCTTCCTTGCTTGTTTCTCGCCCACAGATGATATATGAGAAGTGAAAGTTGTCTCGGTACTTCACGTTTAACTCGGCCAGCAAGGCAGATTCTTCTGGGCTGAAGGTCTGTAGCTGACTAAGTTGAAACTTATAAGCAGCGCCCTCTGAGATGGGTTTACAGGCTGAGGAGTTGATTTGAAGGTCAGGATAGCATCGGAATAGGGCTTCACTGCCTGTTTATGCATGGTAAAAAAACTCATTATGCTCTAATTATACAAAAATACACAAGACTAATATGGTCAGCCAGTTATTTAATTTCTATTATAAAAAAAAAACAGTTTGCTTCTTCCAAATATTAAACTATTCATTATCAGCAAAGTTCCAGATCTACTTCCTCAGGCCAGAAATCTTCTTTATCTATGGTTTGAATAGTGTCTTGTGCTTGAATGAATGGTATGAACACAACCTAACCTGAATGAGACAGCGAGTCCAAGAATTCACAGAATGCTGAATGCAGGGTTGTGATGTTTGCAAATGGGCGTTTGGACCAGGCTGCCGAAGCTACAATTTGTCCATGCTCAACAACACTACCAAAACGTTGAATGAATGAATCCCATGATAGAGCATTCACTTCTTTTATGGCTTGCTTTCCAGACAGACATGGCTTCACCTAAAAAGAAAATGAAATAGTGTTTTTGTCAAAAGTTGAGCATTCTTATAAAGTTACTTGTTAAATTTCAGGTGTCATTTGCTTGCATCAAACTCACAATAAGGAAGAAAATATGAAAGTGATAAACCTGTTTGACTGCCTGTTGTCCTAGCGAATGCCCTGTATGATCGGCTAGTCCAGGCCACTGTATGTAGATCCTTTTTTCGCCTTTCACCATACCATTCTTGAGTGCTTCTCGAAGCTCTTTAGATAAGCGAACTCTCTCCTTTCTAGACCTTGAATTCAATGGAACCTGTGGACATTAAACAAGCAAAATACAAAAATAAATGCAAGGCAGACATCTAGATTTTTTCACAACTCTTGGTACACATGTACATTTATTCCCTGGCTTATTCAGAGGAAAATCCTGTGATATACATGTAGTGGTGTCTCAGTCTTGAATATTGTGATTTACACCTGTTGGTTTCCATCCAATCAGTGAACATGTGCTCCTACCTGTAAGCAAAAAAAATTGCCAATAATTGTATTGGATTAGATTTTTTTTACACAGACAATTTTAATAAAAATGTATACATTTACCTTATATTCTGGATATTTTAGGATTTCTTTCATTCGGATCTGTGCTCTGCATTTGATTTTTTTCGTTCGTTCTTGAGCAAGAGGTCGCCTTTGTCTTGAGAAATCCTTCAACTTTGAAACAAAAAAAAATAATCACAATGGATTTTAGTTGTACACATTCGTCTACATGTACATGTTTGTAGACTATTTCCACTTACTTGACGTTCCATGTATTTTCTCTTGGCTGCTACACATCTGTCCATTCCATATTGACAATCCATAACTTTCTTGCCAACATTGATGAATGGGATACCATCATAAGGTATGCCCAAACCACTGAGATCTGCTGATCTCTCTTCAAAGTAGATCTTGTGGGGTCTGTCAACCTTATACTCTGATACATGGGAAAAAATATTGAAGTCATCAATTACTGCAGGGAAGGAAACAAGGTTTACACTGACCCAGTGTGTGGCTGGTCTTTAGTGTATCATACTGCATTCTGATTATCAAATGAGCAGAAACTGCATCAGTTGGGTTTTTAATGCCATATTTCCATATTTAAGTAGAAATTTAGATTGTACTCAGACATGAGGACAGTACAGAGCTTGAAGGAATTGACATTCAAAGTTCCGAACTTCAGAGAAGTCACACTTGAGGTAATCAGTGGTGATAATTATCTTATGAAAACTTTTCACCCATTTTAAAATACCAAATGTACTTTCACATTTCTGCTTTTTTATTTGTGGGTGATTTGTGGATGTGCACATGAGTGGCCACAGGGGCACACATGTATGTACCAAAGTTGATTTGCAAGGCTTGCCAAAATCAACTTTTAAAATAAATCTTGAGGATGTCACTGATCAAAGGCAGTGGTATATAGCCCTTTGCTCATCTCAACTTTAGATGTCTTTTACATTTACCTGTATTTCCAAACCCAGCAGTGCTCTTATAAGCACTGTATTTTGTTCCTGTTTGATTTTCAAAATTATGAAGTGCTTCATTTGCTTCAAGAAGTGTCCTGACATAGGAAACAGTGGGCACATCTGATGACACATTTACATCTATTTGTGATCTGTCTCGTTGAGCTTCCTGAGTTGGTATCGGTTCATCAATTTGTGGAGGTTTCTTTCTGATAATTTCTGGATTATCACCTGAAGATTCTGTTGACTGGTTTTGAATGGCAAACACCCTTGATAAAATGCCAGAGGAGCTGGAGGTATAATCTTGGTTGTCATGGGAACTGTTGCTATCGATATCCCTTGCTTCAATAACGGGAGGATGAAGTTGACTGAAGCTTTCCTCAGTAAACTCTTCATTGCAGTGGTCCTGGAAAAGATTCTTTGAGTTGCATCCTATAATATTATGGAGAGCATGCACTGCAGGGCTGGTGTAATCTTCAACAAGTCGGATGACTTCGGATGTTTGATTATCCTGATGGTGAGCTTGTTCAACTTCAAGTTGAAGAAACTGAGCTTGAGTAGCTGATTCTCTTAAGTATTCATCAGTGACTGATGACTGCGCTTTCATCTCTATTAACTCATGGGCAACACGTGCAGCGACTTGCTGTATGTTCCCTCCTGATGATGATGAGGACATCGTCCTAAGTCAAACTGAGTGATAGCTGACAACAGCACATTCCATCAGCTACTTTACTTACGTTACGGTACCACTATTTAATGACAGTGAAATGAGCAGTCTTTCCAACTTCAACACACGGACCGGCACGATAGATTACCGCAGGAATGCGCTGGATCGAATTGCCACATGGATTGGATTTGTTTGAAATAAAACAACTTCTACTAGGCAATGACCTCGGAGTTCAGTTAGGCCTAATACTAATGCACACTTTTGCTTGGGCATTGTGTGTGCGTACAGTGTGTACATGTACGTGTACATATACATGTACATGTACATGTACATATACATACACGGGACACACTATCATCAGTGGTACACATGCTACGAAGTCGAAATCGTTTTAGAGGGGTCATGGGTTACAGCTTCGTCCAATCGAAATGGTGGGGGTGACAGTTACTTTCTTTCTGCCCGATTTTGCTTCTGAATTCCATAATAAGTCATTTAGATACACAGTAACTATTATTCAAGAGTAATATATGCCTGTTAATTAAAAGGTAAAAAAATAAAAATTACCGTCTCAGATAGGGGTACTTTTATCTAGAATTTCAGTGAGCCTTACAATTATGGAATCACCTACTGCGTGACATCGATCATCATCGACACGGCCGTGTCAATAACAATTGTTATTACCCAACTTAACCTCAGTCCCAACTATAGTTGGGAACTTCCCAACTACAGTTGGGTCCGTCCCAACTAGTAAANTTGAAATTAGTGACTAGACAGAATTTCATTTGTGTTTCAGAAATATCAGGGATGTTAGCGTGCATGTTATTGAGCCCTGAACAGTGCTGATTTTTACACTGTTTTCAATGGGACTTGAATTAGTGGACTGTACCCTACAATGCTGACCTCATACAAAGACTTGCCCTGTCTAGAGAGGGCCACTTTCTTGTGCTGGTTATCGGCACTGATGATGTACTACCCGCCTTTAACCCGTTTAGAGTACCGAAGTGAATATGTCACGCGCACTAGAACCCGGCAGCACGTGCAGCAATACATGTGAGTACTCCATTCGTTGCGGTGCACTTCCTGGTTCAAAATGACGTCAGACTTTGGTACTCTACACCCTGCGTGAAGAACTTGAAGAGAGATAGTAGGAACTCGGTTGCACTGTAATTTTCATTGCTACACAGTTTGGATAACCTGTAATCAGACAAGAAAGCTAATGACCCTCCCTCGAAGTACCACGAACTGGCACCCAGTTGCAAGTGGGTGTCAGTTCGTGAAACTGCGTTAAAAACAAATATATAGTAAAATTACCTTTTTCGAAACAAAGTAATAAAGCTTGTTAGTATGGCAGTTTGACAGTGACAATTGGAGTTATTTTTTTACTCTTCACTGGAGATCAGCAAACAACAAGTCGCCTCCAAAATTTCAGTTTTGAACGAATGTGTTACAAGAACAGGTTGGCGAGTCAGGTTGGCAAGGTAGTTCTTTCCTCGCCTTCCATCTCTGTGGTCCCGGGTTCGATTCCCGGCCCGGTCCACATGTGGATTGGGTTTTTAGTCCCTACCTAACTCTGTAGGTTTTGCTCAGAATATTTTCCTGGGGTTTTCCTCCCACCTCTAAAACTGTAACTGCTTCTTGCTGTCTCCCCTTTACTGATGTTGGTGAATGTGGGTCGTTTGGCGGCTGCCCGAGACGCCCTTGTATGTCATCGGCTCAACCATGTTTAAATGTATTCATTGTTCCACGCTTAAAGTCTTCATTGTACAGCGCATTGAAGATACCGATTTGAAAATTGCGCTTTATAAATGAAGAAATTATTATCATTATTAAGAAACAACTACCGCCATTTACGAGTCAGAATCATCAAAAGTATTTGTAAATGAAGTAAGCAGGTCTTTGCAATGATAAAGATTGACAAGCACGTAGTAACAAGTAAGGTGGGCCTCCTAAGTTAAATTTGTGGAGTTACGGTTGACGATTTTGCCAGGGAATTTGAATTTTGAGCACGAGATTCACACTTTTGGAAGGCATAGACGAACCTAACAGAAAGCCTCCAACTTTTAAGTATTAACCCTAAGAGCCCTGAATCCTCCAATTTTTAAAAGTACCCTATTACTTCGGAATGTTCTAGGGAAACTGCCTTATTTGCTATTTAAGTCTGACTGTGAAGCGTGACGACTGATCGACGTGAAATCATAAATGGTGAACAAAACAAGTCGCTCCGTGACGCAATTTTTATTTTCAATTCTTGCGTTGAATGACGTCATAAATTACATGAACAATTCAATGCAGGTTGCACTACACTTTAATACACACCCATAGAAAACAGTGCAAAATCGGACCGAAATAACGCCTCCTGTTGACTCTCGTGAAGAGGTTCAAGTTGGCCCCCGTTTTTTTTACTGGAAATTCAAGTGTATGGCCAGAAGATCACTTTTCGTTTCAATTTCATGGGGGTTAACCGCGAAAATCTTTTTTTTAGTCGCCTTTCAAGGAAGATACCCCCGAAATAGCAGTAAAACTAAGCGCTCATTTCTGAATGTAGCCGTCCGCCTCTATCCAAAGTAGCCCCGCAATCTTGGGCTTTTTGGACACACCTCAAACTGGAAACTATCAGTCCCAAATCGGGGATTTATAGAATGACCCCTCCTGATTTTGTTCTTTCCTATTGTAAAAATGCCGTGGGATCACAAAATATTAATGAGCTCGCGAGCAGAAATACAACGATTTGGTGGAATGCACCCTGCAAAGCTTAAACGAAGCCGTTGATTGTCCCCCACCCTGTCAGAAAAGAACCCACGTTAATAAACCTCTGTTTGAATGAACCCCGGAGTCCGGAACCCAGTTCGGCTAAGAGCAATGCAGAGGTCTTGGAATCAAA